GTAAATAGCGTACCAGGTCGAAAATACCAGATTAGTGTGGCTGTAATGCTGGCAGCCAGTATACAAATCAAGTCACGGGCCACGGCCTGTGGGCTGTAGGTTCCCCACAACTGTCTAAATTAACAGCTGGAAATTAACTTACATCGCAGGATCGATTAATTGATTCAAATCGATTGTTAAATTCAGAAAACATGCATCGAACTGTGCACGTGAGAACTGAACACTTGCTATTTATACACATTGTATGCAGAGCTAGATCTAACCTCATGCTTCGGCCAATTGAGCGCATAAAGCTGCACGAATATTGGAGAAAAACACAAAAAACAATACAAATGAGACATGAAATATGAGACGAGAAAGATAATTAATTCCTGAATTAAAGCACGACCGCAGAAAATTAATGTTACCAATTAGGGTGGGATAAATCATTGCCATGCCTTCTCATGAGCACACATTTCACCGTCAGTATCATTTTGCAGATTGTGGCCTCACAATGCGCCTACTTGGTAGGTTTGCACGATAAAGAGTTGCAGCTAGCTACATACAATAACAATTTAAACCTTGAATGTGCACAGTATTAACTCACCCTCGATGAGAAAGAACAACTCAGAGGTGCGAGGAAGCACAGACAAGGAGGAAAGGCAGCCGCATAGTTAGATGGCATCAGATTTCACCCAAAGCTCTGAGGTCTTCGATATATTAAGGTGTTTTTTCTCCCAAATAATGAGTGTTTTCACGTGCCTGCATTGCCCTGGTAGTCACGTCACTGTGTAGTTGACACAGATGCAAGCCAGCACAGCATGCAAGCTGGGTGGCATGTCACACATGCCCAGCCACCTTGTACTTTCCGTTACTGATTTTCATGACCACAATGCATCAGCAGGGTTGCCAGATCAAAGGTCTTTACCTCCAGACCTCGCAGTGTGGTTTTCTTCACAGAACTCTCTCATTGTGTCGGAAATTTCCTAAATGGTGAATTAATATTTGAGGTTCTGTTTTTTTCTTCTTCCAAAGAGAGCACAGTTGTAATGGTGTCGTAGTTTGTCAGGTTGGCTGATTTGAAAAAAATATTTATTAATCATAGCTTCTCCAATGTGTTTTCAGCTTGTACCGGGTGTTGTCCGGTATTACGTCTGATGTTTGCTCCATGTGCTGGGAGCTCTGACAAGTGGAGCAGATGGACTTCGTGTCGAACACCCCGTGGCACATCCTGAAGGGAAATCGGAGTGCTACAACAGCTCAACCCAAAACACCTACTTGGTAAATATGCAATTTTATGTAAATGTTTTAAAATCTAGATTTTTTATTTACAGCATCCTGAAGTATTTTCACAAGCTTGTCAATCCGTCTCGAATAGTTAATGTCCCAGATTTTGCAACACTGCACAACGAGTACTACTTTATGTCTACCTAAGGGGACACACAAGCCAATGGCTGGTGTTGATGTGGTGTTGATGTGCAACATCATGGCCAGGTTTGAGGAATCGTAGGACAGCGCATGCACTCACACATACACACGCTTACACGGGCACCACACGGACACACAAAAACAAAGATCCCCCTTATAGCCTTCAACAGACTGTTGGAGCAAGTGCTGTTCGCGAGGACCTATGAATGCTGACATGGCGCATGAGGGGGGGGGGGGGGGCAGCACCACGCCCTGCCGCCTTTAGCTCCTGGTTGGTGATGTTTACACACTGCACAAGTCACTGATTTGAGGCTGAGTCGATCTAGGAGAGACCCAGGACCGGTTCAGAATATTCGTCACCAATGGTGGTCATAAGCGGGTCGCCACATTGGTATCAGCGGTGCAGTAACCACTTCACTGCCACTCCCCACACAGACAGACACACAAACTCGCACACGCTCACACACAGGAAAACAATGACTCCCGGATATAATCAAACACATGCACACAAAAGTGAGCGCACCAACACACACATTCACACACAACGACTCCCACGTGTACAAATGTGTAAACACACACATACACACGTAAAAGCGAGCACACAAAAGCACACATTCAAGTAGTACGTACAAATGTGTACACACTCTGACACACATAGAAATGCGCTTACAGTCACGTGCACACAAACACGCACACAAAGGGACACAAATAGGAACTGCTCATTCACGTGATAGTGGGCACATGTCATATCATGCACAGACACAAGTGGCGAGGGAAAAGAAGTGAAAATGCCGATGCGGTGCACGGATTAAGCGGCATGTTGAAAGCTGGTGAGTCGACACCAAAACAGAATCTCCCTATCTCCATTCTTCACGACCCACTACGAACACGAATTCACCACTTTGCCTGCATTTGTATCAACATAGGATGTAATTTACATGCTGCACGTGCCTGACGATTAATATGCAGATCTATGTGCACTTGTGTATGCGTGTGCGGAGCAGCGGGGAGTGATTTATAGCACTACGCTACAGACCCGGCGATTTGAATTACAGTCTTAATCACGACCAACATCAGTGGTCATTATCTGAACCGGTCCTGGGTCTTTTCATAGTTCGACTCAGCCTTAACTGTGCACCTGGTTGCGGTGTGTGAACGTCAGCATGATGGAGACAAGAGTAGCCGGGTGTGGTGGGGCCACACTATACCATATCTGTCAACCCATTATCAGTGCCCTACCTTATTACAAACCAATTCAGACCTTATTGGTAACCCCGTGCCCTTACAGATCTCAACGTTCATCCTACAAAGTCCCATCACATGGGAGAAACACAAACAAATAGACAATTTGTTTTTGCCCGTATTGAAACGGCTGTACGCCGTATGGACCTGAAAACTCAATTTCCCTGTACAAGAATACGGGGTAAACCGTATGAGTGGACACGGTATGCCATACATGCCTTCCTGGCCTTCATAGGCGCTCGCTATCAGCACTTGACCTTCCAATCTGTAAAAGGCTATATACGAGGGGGCTAATTGTCTTTGTGTTATTATGTGTGCCTGTGCGTATCCCTCGCGATGTCGACAGTGCTCTCAATTTGAATCGGCGCTCTCTACTTGGAGTGGAACGTGTTTGCCAATCATCGGGCAAGTGCAGCACGTAACGACCTAATTTCCATTTTCAGGGAAAACCTTGGCCAAAACCTGGACAAGTGAACCACGGTGCACTGTGAGGACTTAAAGTTTGTAAAAACCCTGGCCTAGAGACTCAGTGAGGCTGTCCTGGGTAAATAAATATCGATTATAATAATTATTATTTTTTAACAGAAGCCATTGCGGGACCAACTCAGTGTCCAGCAAAGCAACATTAGACGTTCATAGAGGGAGCAACCATCGGAAAGACCCCCTCCATGAAGGCCACTGTGCCCTCAAGGGTCAGCACTCTAATTGTGCTATTGGCGTCATGCAATGGCATTTAGAAATGTATAACTTTACATTGGGAACTCTGCAGCTGAGCAGTGCCATCACCCTGCGTCAGAGAATGACTCCAGAAGGTGACCACACAGAAATACTTCTGAGGTCACCTCATCAGGTGTCTTTATGTACACTAGAGACACGCCTTACATATTTTTATACATATGCCCTGCAAAGAGTGTTCGTCTCATGTCAATCAAAGTGATTTTTTTTTACATCTCAAGAGTTGACATTTTGGCAAATTAGGTGACAAACCAAATGTCAATGTGGCGAGTTTTTTGTGCGCTGTGCAGCCATTGGTAACCGCGCTGGGACCGTCAGCTCGCTACCGTCTGGAAACCCAGTTCGATAACCACGGGTGTCTGCCCGCGTCCTGACCCAGGATCTCAGTGTTGCCAGGCTCTAGTGTCTCTGGACCACCGAGCCACCGCGGTCACCTTAGCCGACTTTGCCGTCAGATGGCTGCCCTTGCTATCGCTGGCCCATTATCTCCACGGCTTTGGTGTGCATCACTCGATCTTCCACCCCCCCCCCACCGCCGACCCCCCCCCAGCCCCCCCCCTCCACGGTGCTCCTAGCGCAAATCAACTCCCCTGCGCCATCGAGCAGCAGCGAATCGGTGCTCCAGTGATGATCGCGACGGGAAAGAGAGGGGGGAGCGAGCTCTCGCGGGCACGATTATGCGCGGACGATGAAACGAAATAAATAACGAGAGGGGATCAAGATTTAGCATGCAGATTCGCCCATGCTGCCACAGCAGCACGGCGCAGACGTGCCGGACGGACGCTGTAACAGCCTCGAGGTGTTACTCTCTGTGTCAGCCTGCTCACTCCTGCGCCCGCTCTCTCTCTCTCTCTCCCTCTCGAGACATCATCCTCATGCTCTCTCAAACTAATAACGCAATTGAGTATGATTATAATAGTAATAGCAGCAATGTTGATGATTAATATGAACAATTGTAATCCTACGTATGTAGCCAGGGTAAGTCTCACCGAGCCTCAAGAATCTTTCTTTTGGGGAGGTTCCTGCAACATTTAGGAAGGAGCGTTTGGCTTCATGTCAAAGGACACTGGAATACATGAAGAAACCCCACACACAAGAGGGGAACATGGTGCTATCCACCCCGCAGTAATCTTGTCTTTCACCCCATGTGTCTGCTGTCCATCCCCCTTCTCTCCCTACCCTCTGCACTTCCCCCAAACCCCCCACCCCCACCCCCCAGCATGTTGTGGCTCACCTGGCTGATGCAGCTGTTTTTCCCTGGTGGTACTCATCGCTCATGCGCAGTGGTTATGCAACGATGGGTTGTGTGTCGCGAGATGTTAACTTCCTCGGCTGGTTTACAGGAGGTCGTGGACTCGATCCTGATCCTGACGCCTGCTGTATATTTTGAGTTAGCATGCTCTCTTCTCTGGGTCCTCCGGTCTTTCCCTCCACATTTGGAATCAACGTGCTATATTCATTTCCACATGATAAGCGACTTCGTTCAGCTATAATCTGTGGCCAGGTCGCTTCTGAAAGAGAGCTATATAGCTCAGTGGGGCCTTACCTGGTAAAATGCAGAGTGTGTAGTCTCTTAGCACGTGAGGAGTGTGCGCGCACGCGCGAGTCTCACTCACCTGGCTGATGCAGCTCGCCTGGCTGATGGTGCTCATGGCTCGCATGTAGCTCTCGTTGCGCGAGCGGAACTTGGGCGAGCCGAGCAACGTGCTCGGGTCCAGGCTCTCCATGCTACGGTTGATGGACACCTCGCTCACTGCACGCAGGTAGCTGTGGCTCCGTGCGTAGATCTTCGGGGAGCCCCTGTCGGGGAAACGTGCGCCACTTTTCAAGCCGTCGCTCAGCAGCTCTTCAAACAAACAAACATTTTTTGTTGTTGTTTATCTCACCAGGTAAGGCCCACTGAGCTAATATAGCTGTTTTTTCAGAGGCAGACCTGGCCACGCATGATCGCTCAACAAAGAGGCTTATCACTTGGACATGCATAGCAGCAGCCAAATGCTCTAAACGCGTGTTGATTGTAGATGTGGAGGGAAAAACCGTAGTACAGGCATACAAATCCATGCGACGATGGGGAGAACAAGCAAGGTCCAAATATACAGGCGTCAGGGTCGGGATCGAACCCACGACCTCCTGTATCCCAGGCGAGGTAGTTAACATCTAGCCACTGCCGTCGCCGCCACTGTTATGAGTTAAAGGTGCGGCCCTGCAATTTTCTTGCTCAGGCAACTGCTGGTGGATGGAGGGCTTCCGCTAGCGGGAGCTCAAAGGAGCTGCTCTCGAGAGGAGTCTTTTGCCTGCTCTTTGGAAGATGTGTGAATACCCACGCTTTACGTCACCACATTGATGGACTGTGGTGTACCCATTTATACTGCTGGGTGGACCCGGGTGGGGGGCGGTTCAAGAACGAGTGTGCACACCATTATAATAATCATCATCACCACCAGCCACGATCGATCTACTGCTTGATGAAAGCCTCCCCAAGCAGCCGATGTCCTTCACTGTTCTACACAAGGGGCTGATTTCATCGTTCCATCTCTGCAGTGGACGTACCGTCAGGCGTGCCCCCCCCCCCCCCCCCCCCTGGTCATCTCAATTAAGGATTGAGAGAATGGGTGACTGATGGAATAAATAAACGAATGAGTGAACAACTGAATGAATGGTTGAATGAGAACATCAGTGAATGAATGGGTGAATTATTGAATGAATGGGTAAGTGAATGAGTTAAAAAAATTAATGAGCGATAGAATTATTGAGCAAATAAATGAACGAGCGAAATCGTGCGAGTAATTCAATGAAAGGTTAAATGACTGAATGCATGTATGATTGAATGGCTCAATTAACAAACAGGTAAATAAATGAGCGAACACCGGAATGAGTGGTCGAACGAACGAAGAAACAAAATTAGCATATTAATGCGCGAGTGAATTGAAGGATGATCGCACGACAAAGGGAACATGGCAGCGGCGGCGTCGGTAGGTGGTGGTGAGTGGCGGCAGGTGGTAGTAGGTGGGGGTAGGTGGGGGTAGGCGGTAGCAGGTGGTGGTAGGTGGTGGTAGGCAGTGGTAGGTGGCGGCAGGTGGTAGCAGGTGGTGGTAGGTGGGGGTAGGCGGGGGTAGGTGGTGGTAGGTGGTAGCAGGTGGTGGTAGGTGGGGGTAGGCGGTGGTAGGTGGTGGTAGGCGGTGGTAGGCGGGGGTAGGTGGTAGCAGGTGGTGGTAGGTGGCGCTCACTTGAGACAGGCCTGCTCGTTCAGGCTCTGGCCCAGGCTCTGCTGTCCCGTCGCCTTGAGGTAGCTCTCGCGCCGGCACGCGCCGTGCAGCGACAGCTTGGGCAGCGGCGCCGCCTCCATCTCGTCGGCCGCCTCGTCCGCCTCGTCGTCGTCTCCCTCGTCGTCGCGATCCTCGCGTGCCCTGTCCTCCTCCTCTTCCTCCTCCTCCTCCTCGTCCTCCTCGTCGGTCTCCTCCTCGTCCATCGCCTTGATGTAGCTGCCGCTGCGCATGCGGCGGCACGGGATCTCGCTGTCGCCGCTGCGGCTGCCGCTCTCGGGCAGCGTGCTCCAGCCTTCGCGCGGGACCTGGCGGTGCCGGTCGCGTCGGGAATCAGTCCGACGGATCGCATGCCACGGGGATCTCAGGGGAAATGGTTGGGGGTGGGCAGGGGTGGGGGGCGGTGGGGGGGGGGTTGGAGGTGAAAGCTGCTGCATGGATACCGTGCCACGTCGCATAAACATAAAACACACTAAACTAAGCGAATATATGCAAAGTTTCATTTTGCCAGGTAAGGCCCACTTAGCCATGAGTACCGTCGGTCAGGCCAGCTGCGTCAGCCAGGTGAGTGAGACTCACGCAGGCATACACACTCGTGTACTAAAAAAATAAAAAAAAGCAACCTGGCCACAAATGATAGACCAGCAAAGTGGCTTATGACGTGGAAATTTTTTAGCAGCCAAATCCCGTAAACGTGTGTTTAAAAATGTGGATCGAAAACCAGAGGACCCGGAAAAAAAAATCAACGCAACCATAGTGAGAGAGAACATGCAAACTCCAAATATACAGGTATCAGGGTCGGGATGGAACCCATGACCTATATACCAGGTGAGGCAATTAAAATTTCGCCACCGTGGTGCCCAAATAAACAACATGAACAAAATGCATGCCTAACGCCGCATTGACGAGAGGGGCGGACGTGTGTTCTCTCTTTTTTGTGGCCTTAGTAACCTCGAGGGGGTACGGGGACTGGCCCGGAGGAGCACAAAGAACAGCGGTCTTGATTTTGGTTGAAACCGCCACACCAAAAAATGGCTTGTGTCACGCTCTCTAGAGACGTAGTGTGGAGCGTGTATGGTGAGCGAACCTCCGTGGGAATACGGAGTGATGAAGGTCAACTCCAGGTCAACTCCACACTCACTTCATCCCCAGAGACCCCCCCCCACCTCGCGAGTTCTCCTCCTCACCACCTTGTGGTATCGTGCACTATGGGGCGGTAAAACCTTGCATCGGGAGACGAATCTGACACGTCTTAAACAGTGACTGCTTTCACTTGTGCAGACATCTATTAAAGCCACTGCTGCTATTTTAATTAGGTTCTGCTTAAGCTACCCTCATAGCAAGGGCTTGATTTCTCACTGTGAATGTTTTCTGGGTCACTGGTAGATTGGACGTGACTGGTGTGCCATGTGTGAAAATATTTTCCAGCTGAAATGAAGCCCTGCTTCATAGCACGCCGTTGCAATGAAATTACCTCTCATGCCATCTATTGCCCATCACTCCACTCCTGCAGGCTCAATAAAATAGGCACCACGTTGTGGGAAGTAAACAAGAGCACAGTACAATGCAATACAGATTTATAAAGGCTCTACACGAACACTATCCCTAGGTGCCGTAGATAAATCAGTCACGAGTACATTTGGTATTCGTGCCATTGTTATTTATCTTTGTGTGGCAACTTGTGTCCTCATGAACCTAGTTGTTTGCTTGGCTTCATGATGATTTAGCTTTTCCCCACGTGGGGAAAATCACGTCCCTTATTTAAACGGCATAAGCAGCAAACCGGTCTTGTAAAGCCACAAGGCCTTGAAATGTTGTCTTTTTCTCAATGAGTCCCAACTATCGGTGTCATATCGTGAGATAAAGAATCAATTTGTCTCAAAGAGGAGTACAACCCTTCCTGTTAGACAAAGGCCCATGGAAGCAGATACCATTGAACTGCTTCTGAATTTCCTTCAAGTGGTGGTGCTATACTCACAGAACGAGGGGCAGCCCTTTGTGAAATATGCAAAACCACATTTTATATGACTGGGCTGAGACCATTAACTCACAACACATGAGAAACTGCTTTAATCACAGAGGCAGCTTCCTACAGTTAAACGCAGGATCTCAGCAGTGCCAACTCACTTGGCAAATTCTGCTACAAGAACATTTAGATATAAATACGAGTTACCATTTTTTGTTTTCTCGTGAAATTATTGTGAAATCAAATGCCAGTTAAAGTTAGTTACAGTTCATAAAATCGGGATCATGAGAGGTTGTGGACGCTTTGGGAGGCCTTCATCCAGCAGTTTATCGATCATGGGCTGATGATAATGAAGATGAATTCTGATAATCTATACTCTACAGCAACTACTCGATTAAGCAACACAACAATTGCACAGAAGTGAACTGGAGAATGAACATTTCTGGTACGAAAGGAACTGCACCTGAAGATAGTGGCAGGGCCCCGACTTGTCTCCACGCTCCAGGTTGAGGGACGCCTTGCGGTACACCTCCTGCGCCTTGTTGATGGTAAGAGCCGTCCACGTGCCGTGCTTGATGTACTTTGCCTCCTCGGCCGTTTGCGCCGACATCGAGGCTGAGGCCAACGCAGATGAGGAGGGGCCACCGCCACTGCCGCCCGTGCTGGGCGGGGGCAGCTCGTCGTAGCTGGGGCACGGCGGGTCCATGTAGTACGACGCTCCCGGGGGCTCCGAGCCGGGGCCCAAGCCGCCCGCCGAGCTCAGGATGCCCATGCCGAGCGCGGTGCTCGCCATGCTGATTCCCCCGCCACCGCCGCCACCGCCGGACCCCAGCATCCCCACCGGTGGCATCCCACAGCCTCCGCCTGTCGGCACCATACCAAATCTCCCTCCGCCGCTGCCGCCACCACCACCACCACCGGGCGGCCCGGCTCCATGAAGCCCCATGGCCTGGAGGCCCCCACCGGAGCCCGACAGGCCCCCCATCCCTCCCACCGGTGATGTCAGAACGCCAATCCCAACGCCCATGTGGTGGTGGTGCTGCTGCTGCTGCTGCTGGTGGTGGTGGTGGTCGAGGGTCGTGTCGGAGCTCCACCAGCTGCTGGCAGACGATCCCCCCGCGCTGCCGCTGCAGGCCTTGTCGAGCGGGCCGCCCGCCGGCGGGGCCGCTCCCCCGCCGGCGCCCGCCGGCCCTGCCGCCCCGGGCTTCACTTGTTTGGCGGCGGCGGCGGCGGCGGCGTCCTGTTGCGCGCGGCGGTCCTTGCCGCCCTTGCCTTGGCGGCGGTGCGCGTCGGCCCTCAGGCCGCCGTTGAGGCCCTTGCCGGGCCCCTCGAGCGAGTGCGACTTGGTGAAGAGGCGCTGCACCGAGTGCACGAGGTGGCGGATGCGCCCCGAGCTGTTGCTGCGCTGCTCGAGGGTGAGGCGCTGGTACTGCAGCGTGCGGAAGCCGTCGCGCCCGTGCATCGGCAGCTGTCGCTCAAACTGGTCCAGCAGGTTGGTGGGCAGGCGGTGGATGCGGCCCGAGAGGCTGCCCGGGTGCGCCAGCGTCATGGAGCCGTCGTCTCGCGGGTCGTAGTAGGAGGGCGAGGGCAGGACGCCGCCGCCGCCGCCACCGCCCCCGCCGCCACCGGACATCATGCCGATGCCACCACCGCCGCCGCCGCCGCCGCCGCCGCCAGCGTAGTGGTGCATCCTGCGAGGAGAGGGGGGGGGGGGGGGGGGAGGACACGTGTGAGGTTCGAGTCGATGGGGTTCCGCCCGTTAGATGTTCGTGAAATGTTTTGAGAAATGAATTCATCGTCGAGAGTAGGCCACGATCAATTGAATGCCGGATGAAGGCCTCCCCACGCGGTGTTGGACATTGGGGTTGGTTGCCCATAGTGTCACGTTGTGGAGTGTGACGCCAAAGGGGAGGGTAAGCAAGGGAATAGCCCACTAACTCGTATAAAACAAAAAGGGTCAATAAAACAGGCCGCAAATTCTGCAAAAATGAACACATTATAATCTGTAATAGTGCCCGATGAATATGTTCATGATCTTTAAAAGAGAAAGCCATTAAACAATGGATTTTTTAAAATGCAAATTGTATTTTATTGGATATGGCAGATGTGGGTGTATTAATCACAGTGTCGTGACTCCTAGTTTAATTTCGTATTCCAATTACTGCTGTATGGAGGCCTCCCCTCGCTGCATCAGTCACGAGGGTTGTGTGACCATCATACTTCACCGAGCTGGTTAGCACGGCAAAAAGGAGGGTGGTGATGAGGGGGTTCGGGATAGATCAGCAATCACCAGCCACTGATGTTGGCCGTAGCTAGGAACCCAACAAATCGCGGAGTACATTAACCAGTGCACCGCCACGCTCCACTGCTTATAAAGAGTTATACAGGGTGGCCCAGAAGTCAGGACACAAGGGTTATAATACTTTCAACAAATGTTCAAACGTATGAAGGTGACCCGTAAGAAAAAAAAGAATTCATTGAACCTTCACAAGCAACCTAATGCAATTATGACTCTCAGAATAATGAAATGGTGGCATATATAAAACAATCACTCGAAACACACACAGGGGCTCCGCGATCAGTTTATGTTTGATAACTTGAAAAAGGCAGATGGCTCGTAGAGAGATTGAAGGCCCTTTGAACCCAAATCCCAGAATGAAGTGCTGTTGTATTTGTGATTGGCATGTTCCCATGAGCGACTCTTTCAGGATAAGGCTCCCACCATGTTCCAGTCACATCAGCAATAAGCTGCAGCCCATCCTACAAACGGGGTGAATATTCTAATTTGGTTCTTTCGGTAAAGTCACGTAGAATGAGAATAAAATAATAAATTGATAAAATAAAGTAACATAATAAAATAACAGACAGTCTCGTCCCTTCACCTGATGAAGGCCGCTTGTGTTGTGGCCGAAACGTCGTGAGAATATTATTGTGTTATTTTATTTTATCAATATATAATATTTTATTCTCATTCTACGTGACTTTACCGAAAGAACCAAAGGGGGTGAATCTTCTCCAAGTTAATTTCCTAATTACCCCCAATGCTGTTCCTTAACGGCATTGCTCGAGTAACCTGAAACCTCGTTAGGCTCAGAAGAAAAGCATTATGGGTGGAATGATGCATGGAGTAATCAATTCACATCAATTCCTAAGCTCGCCACGATAAATTAATTGAATCACGTATGTAACAGTGCATGTTTTTTTCATATTTGCACATATTCAGTTCATGTCCTTGCATTCACTAGCAGCACTACCATTCACCTTAATGTAAAGAATAAATACTTGAATTAATCGTGACCTCCAATCATGACAATTAACCAGATTACCAGGGGAGGGAAATGATTGGTTATGAATCTAAATTGGCATTTGTGAAAAGTTGTATCTACTTTTTTTGACTAGATCCTAATTAATAAATTATGCATAGGTCGTGATCAATACCACAAATCCCTGGTTCCTGCCAGTGGGAATAAGTCTTTACTCGACTCTGTACAGCAAAAAATATTCCAGTAAGCGCTGTGAACAACTGACAGGCGGACTCACAGATGGATACATTAAATATCTTATGTATATGGATGTGCCAGCTTTACAGGCCACAGGCTACTGTATTTCAAATATACAGCAACATAAATCACGGGCTACAATTCTACAATTAAAATATCTGCCGCATCAATTAAATGGAAATTATGCCGGTCGAATGCGTAACTTGGATGGACGGCTGGAAATCCATGTATGCTCGCGTGCAAAGAAAATGTAAAATTGTAATGCGTGTGTTTTACGCAACAAGGGGACAAACGTCTCCCATTAAGCTTTTGGATGTGTAGGGTCAAGTGCCATTAGCTGGCCCATGGCTTGCGTGGTCCTGTAAGAAGCACACTCAGCACCATGGAGAGCTCCGTGTGTTCCCCAGTGCTGACGTTCACTTTAGCACACCAGGTATTCCGGTGATTAGCGCAGGGGGCACTTTTCTGCCAAACAAAAAGCTTGGAAAACCGAGACTTTTTTTTTAAACTATAAAGTGACGACCAGGTGGTGCCCCTTCCTACGTAGCCTAAAATGACGGGCACGGGCGAAGAGGTCGGGAGATGGGGACGGGTGCAAAGAGGAGCGAATCCTTGAGCGGTGGGAGGTTAGTGCATAAGCCCATATGCATGTTATTTTCATTTGTAGGGGTTTCCCATTTCCCCTCCCCCACTCCCCCCGCCCCTGGTCTTCCCTCAGTATGTTAGTCACCTTTCCCCTTCCCTATATAAATCATCATGTCCCTGCACGTGGTCCCCAATTGGCTGGGGCAGCGAATCAAATTCCCCGCCCCCCCCCCCCCCCCTTTCGTGCGTTCCCGCCGCAGCAGATTTGGGTTGCTGCTCGCGGAATTTCTGTTCCATTCCAATGGCGATCGGCGCATTGTAGCGGGCTCGCATTGGTTAGCAATAAAAACATTTTAAAAAAGTAAAGTGAAATGCAATCCAAACACCAGAATAGCTCTGATGTTGTGGATACATGCCCAGGGCCGCTCGTCCCAAACTCTCCGACACAAGTTCGATGCTTCATTCTACATTACGGCGCTTTCGTTAATCCACTTCTGGATGAGGACGTCCTCACGTCACGTGGGGGCTATTTGTTCATACTTCACCACGCCGCTCAGTGTGGGTCTGTTACAGTGGTGGAAGTACAGTACAGTAGAACAATTGATTTTGCTGCACTGTCCTCTGCCTCGAAGAACCGATTGGTTTGGACGCATATTGGCGGGGGTGATTAATGAGAGGGAAAAAACATTCTTAAAAATGTCAGTTCGGGGCACTCCGGTAATGTCACGTCAGCATCACTGCCTTGCCATTGCTGTTGTTATCGCTGCAGCATCCCTGCCTGTCACTTAAAATTGCGTTTAGTTCCTGCGGAAGCCTCGAGCTTGCGTCAGACGACGATCGGTCACGTGGCGGCATCACCTGGGGAAGGTGCTGCTGACGCTCAGCTGCTCGGTGAGCACGAGCGGGAACCCGTGCGGGTGGGAGCCGCTGCCCGCCATCCCCGCCATCTCCACCTGCATGGAGGCGCGCGACATCGACGCGGCGCCACCGTGGGGCGGCACGCCGGGCATGATGAGGCCGTGGTGCGCCGGCACGGACGGCGGGCCCCCCGCCACGTGCTCGAGCAGCGGCGGCGGAGGCCCCAGCATGTAGGCCCTCCGCGAGCCGTCGCCCACCGCCGTGGCCCGCAGCGTCTCGTCCGACATCATGGGGCCGACGCCCCCGCTGAGGCCGCCCAGACTGCCGCCGGAAGCCATCGAGCTCAGCTGCGGCTGAGTGTGGCTCCCCGTGAGTCCCTTCATCGCGACGCGAGTCCGCCGATTGGCCAGTTTTAGCTGTGCTCGCTCGCAGTCTACACTGGGGTTCAGTGGCCTCCCGGCTGCATTAGGCTAGGTGGTGGTACTTCAGGTGTTAATCTGGAGATACTGTGGCAAGTGAATTGTTCGTTCGGCTCTCATCATCCTTTCACTGGAGTCAACATTTGCATTTGCTGCTGCTTCTGTGCTAGCGTTGTCGATTAAAAAACATAATTTGCTAAGCTGCGTAGCTTTCCGCTGACCGGCTACCTCTTCCCTGCAATCTCTTAATTTAAATGATTTGTTTTGGTCGTCTTTAGGCTGGTTGTCACCGATCTTTTCAACGGTGGAAATTTAAGTTTCATTGGAAAGAAAATAAATTAAAGCAACAACAAAAATACCTCAGGATGGCTTTCACGAATTTTTTTCCACAATTTATCGAGTTTGATAATTTGATTCCAAATCAATTTTGCGTCGATTATTAGAGGCTGGGAAGTAAAATAATTTTCCTGCTTGCCCAGATCTCATCCCATGCCGCTTCATCGCTGCCCTGTGGAAAAACAAAAACAATGCATGGGTTGGCGTGATTAACACATTTAAATATGCGCATTGTGCACGCCTCTTCAATATGCAGCAGCGCCGAAATTAATTACAAGCGAATTCATGTTGTTTGCTTTAGTACAAGCGTGCAGGCTTTACAAACATAGCAGCGCACGCGGCTACATTTCATTTTCATTTCGAACCCCTTAAAAAAATTTAAATCATGTGCAGTGAAGCTCGTAGATAGTGCATTTCCACGGTCGCGAGATGTTAACTACCTCACCTGGTATGCAGGTCGTGGGTTCGATTCCAACCCTGACGCCTGCTATATGTGTGGAGTTTGCATGTTTTCCCCGTGGTCGTGTGGATTTTTCTCCAGGTTCTCCAGTTTTCCCTCCACATTTAGAATCAACGTCACGCGTTTTAGAGTATTTGGCTGCGATACATTTCCACATGATGATAAGCCACTTCGTTGAGCTATCATTTGTGGCCAGGTCAGTTCTGAAAAAGAGCTATACAGCTCAGTGGGCCTTACCCGGTAAAATCAAAACATATTTTTTTAAATATCATTAGACCTCCTTTGGAAGTACCAAAATATAATAATAGGGGGTTTCCCCTTTATTATCAGTGTGTTTTATGTTTGCATTTTGACCACAAGTATTGTGGTTAATGCACACATGATTCCTTGTAAAAAGGTTGCAGTTTTTTTTCCAGAAAAAAAGGGGAAAACCCTATTATTATATTTTTTTAATAGGTTTTAGTTTGAGTGGACGGCAGAAATTAAAGGTGGCAGGGGCAGGTACACAGCACGGGGCAAATACACACAATTGCCTATCGATAAGGGAAGAGAAACTCGGTGAGTATTCGCACTCGATACTCAGCTTCCTCACAGCGTGCACACACACACCCATTGTGTGTGCTCGCCAATTAAAAACAAATCGCGTCCGAGGGATACTTAATTTTCCACCCCCCATGGCCCCTCTGCCAAAGGAATAATAACGTAAAATAAACACCGGGCACGCAAGGCACACGCTCAAAAAATAAATAAGCACTGCCAGGAAGTCATACGGACATTTATTAGCGATTGGAGACTGCGTAGAATCGCGAAAAATAAAACCTTGGCTGCGGTGACCGAGACAACTCGTTAACATGCATGCGGGGACAGCGACGTCTGTGCAATTTTAACCCCGTCGATTCTCGCCTTCCCTATGATCGCGAGGGGAGCAGACAGCCCTATCAAGGCAGGATCACTACCCCGTGCAAATGACGTGGCTGATGGTGCGACGCGTGATGGAGTTTGTGTGGGGAGCAAGGCGGGATGCGAGGATCCTGTGTTTCTGATGCCTCGGATGATGGCTCAAGTCAAAGGTCATCTGACATTGCGAGCACTTCCCAAAACATGGCTATGTTAGCTATGACCACGTTTGTTGTGGGGAGTTTTTTTTTGTTTTAAGGGAAACAAAGTCAAAAATACAAGTGGCACCTATGAGTTATGTTATTATACGCCGATGCAGCGGTTAGCTCACTCGTGCTGTGAGCCCAGTAAACTGAGTCTGATTCCAAACCACATCTGGCATCAGTGGCAAGAGATATCTGAACCAGCCCTGGGTGCCAATGTCAGCAGCCAATACTGACTAACGTGGTTCAGTATGATCAAACAACTCCACAACAAACACAACATGGCGAGGTCTTCATCCAGCAGAGGATTGCAAAAGAGCCATATAATCAAAACAATATCCACAGGGCAAACGTCGCAGGTAAAATTTGCTTTCGTGAACGAAAAATCTGGCTGCAGAAGCAAGTGCCACCATTATATATTAAAATCAGCAAAAGCCTTCCGTAAATCACGTGACTTCTGTGTGGCCACCCCCACTCTGAATCCCTCCCCTCTCCCCACCCCCTGTGAAAAACAAACGCTGCTCTGCTTGCTGTCAAGGCCCTTATGTAGCCTCTTACTTCCCTATCATCTTTCCTCATCATTTGGTCCTCCTATATAACCGTTCCTTTGCCATCCGTTGCCTCTCAATTCCCATCCTTTCTCTCTCTCTCTTGCCTTACTCCTTCCTTTGCCCGTACATTATATCCTTGACTGGTGGTGGTTTTCAAAGCACCCCTTGGTGTTCTGGGATCCATAAGCTAACATGGAGCGACCCGCCACATTGCCTACACCTCACGCCGTGATGTTGGCCGATTTACGAAGAGGAGGACAGCTCCAGGGTGGCTGTGACATCACTAGGGGGCGCTGTACCCCTGCACCTCGAGTTACGTAACCCATCATCTCGGGGGTTATCCATCACCCTCCAAACTCACGAACAACACCGCCGACGCTCGGGTTTGACATGATAATCACTTTATTGCCAAAACTATTGTTCGCTAAATGTCGGTAAAATAAAGCGGTGCATTAAAACACGATCACCCTCAAGCGCTATCGGGGGTACAGCTGATGCGCATCTACCAGTCATCTCAAATCAGCCAACCTGTCGCACTTGCTGGGTCTGTCCCGAGACCTCCTTGCCTGCGAGCCTTCGACACTTCGCGTTACGCGATTTTTGCCGATTTTTGACCCCCCCCCCCCTTCGTCACACGGCGTCACAAAAAGTCAGACCCCCCCTCAAATATGACGTCACAAAGCTCTGCCCCCCACCCCCCCCCCCCCCAAAATAAAAAAAACATGCTTCAAATCGCTTTAAACTATTGTCATTGTAGTGCGTATTCAATGTGCCGCTGCACTCTGATGTTGTAGGAGAAAACATTTTTTTAAAAGTCTATTTAATTAAGTAGAACGTGTTGTCTATATTTATTTAAAGTTGCGCATTTTGATGTGACGTCACATTTCTCAAACACCCCCCCCCCCTCTCGTCACACATCGTCACAAATGTCTGACCCCCCCCCCCCCCGTAGGTGCATGACGTCATTTATGGACGGCCCCGAAGGAGCGCGGCGCAGACGAACAAGTGGATGCGGCACACCGGCCTTTGGCCTCTGCTCTTTAACAATTCAGCTCGCGGCAAGGAGACATCTACAGACGGCCAAGCGAATCAGTCAAGTCTCGGTAAGCATTTGCGAAGGCAATAGCTGTATGTTTTACGGGTTATTTATTTTATTCACCTAAATTATCTTATTGGTGTCATGACACGATATGAAGAAAATAATGTCCAATTGGTACTCGAGTCGAAAATGGCCTGATTTATATTTGCTTTCATTATTGTACTTAAGCTTTTTTTTAATGTTATTGCTTTTATCATGTTGGTGACCAGGGTCACTCTTTCAAATTAGACTATCGTCGCCTCTCTGCGTTCTTACGTGGGTAAAGAAAGTAGCACTTAAACGTATCCGCACGCGAGAGGGGGGGTGGGGGTAGACTTTCTCACGCGCCCCTGCTACAGAGATTGTCAATGACGTGGTGGCGGTCAAAGTAAAATTTCACTTTTAAACCCTCATTGCTGGAATTTCGCCAAAGGTAGGCGGTTTTTTTGGCAGCCATTGGTGACCACGAAGTCCATCAAGTCACCACACCTGAGAGCCCAGTTTAACTACGGGTGGCTGAAAAGCCGGATTTGAATAGAGAAGCTCAGCAGTTCCGGCTGCTGTGGTTCGGTCATGTGGAGAGACAGCAGGGAAATTGTGGGTCATGAAGGTGCATGTGGAAGGAAAGAGACCAAGAGGAAAGCTAAAGAAGAGGTGGGGGGGGGGGGGGCGATGTGGTGCGTTCGGACCACGGTGGCCCCAGGAGCGGAAAGAGAGATGGCGCAGGACAGGGCAGTGTGGAGAAGGATGGCAAGGAGGACAGTGTGGAGAAGGATGGCAAGGAGGGCAGTGTGGAGAAGGATGGCAAGGAGGACAGTGTGGAGAAGGATGGCAAGGAAGGCAGTGTGGAGAAGGATGGCAAGGAGGGCAGTGTGGAGAAGGATGGCAAGGAGGACAGGGCAGTGTGGAGAAGGATGGCAAGAAGGACAGTGTGGAGAAGGATGGCAAGGAGGACAGTGTGGAGAAGGATGGCAAGGAGGGCAGTGTGGAGAAGGATGGCGCAGGACAGGGCAGTGTGGAGAAGGATGGCAAGGAGGGCAGTGTGGAGAAGGATGGCAAGGAGGACAGTGTGGAGAAGGATGGCAAGGAGGACAGTGTGTAGAAGGATGGCAAGGAGGGCAGTGTGGAGAAGGATGGCAAGGAGGACAGTGTGGAGAAAAATGGCAAGGAGGGCAGTGTGGAGAAGGATGGCAAGGAGGGCAGTGTGGAGAAGGATGGCAAGGAGGGCAGTGTGGAGAAGGATGGCAAGGAGGACAGTGTGGAGAAAAATCGCAAGGAGGGCAGTGTGAAGAAGGATGGCAAGGAGGGCAGTGTGGAGAAGGATGGCAAGGAGGGCAGTGTGGAGAAGGATGGCAAGGAGGACAGTGTGGAGAAGGATGGCAAGGAGGGCAGTGTGGAGAAGGATGGCAAGGACAGCGGACACACCTCACACGAGTGGGACAAATGCGTGGAAGGAGCTCAGCAGTTCCGGCTCAATGCTCCGAGATGCACAGGTGACTCAACTACCACGCCCCAAGGGGAAATGTATAACAGCTGCGCCTCGCATCGTTAAAATGTTACGTTTTTGGAGGACTACTTTCCTGGATTTACTTTGAAGCACTGTCATTGCGTCTTACTTTTGGTCGTGTTAATTTCATCATCAACGGATTCTCAGTGCACTCGTTCCATCTTTTAAACAGGATCTCCTCTGTAGGAAACACCCATCACTTCGACAATATTCAATACGCCTATTGGAAAAAGAAAAGATCATTGGATATCAATGGTGTATCTATAAACGGATCACCCTGTATGCTCCATATTAAAGTATTCTGCGGATTGTAAGGTGCTCCGGAGAATAAAACAAACCCCGAAACTGTGTGTCTGGCGTCAGGTTATAACAAGGACAAAGACTCCCCGTATAGCCTTAACAGACTGTTGAGCCAAGTGATGCTAGCGAGTAGCACCTATGAATGCCGGCTCGGCAGACGAGGTGGGTGCCAAGTA